TCTCCGCTTGAACGGAAATCTTGCTTTACCCCTGGGCCTCCTTTGTATTATTGGAAACAAGAGTTAAGTAATATCCCTGACAGAGAGGCATCTACTTTATAATATATCAATGAGTGTCATTTGGTACAAAGAGATAGATCGATTTTGTTTTATTAAGAGAATTAGATAATATCCAAATGTTTCTGCAAAGTATTTAAATGCATTTGAATCCAACTCGTCAATGATAGAGTCGATATTTGAGGACCGTCCTAATATATAATTTGATTTATAATATAATAGATATTTTAATAGTTTATTATTTATTATTCTTGATACAGATTTTCGCAATTCAATTTATTTTATCGTTACGCCATGAATTTAGGATTATGTGTTTAATTCTAAAGCAACTTGTTACCTTAGCAAAATGATTGAGTATTTTTCATCCATCAAGCGCACAAATTATTCCGAATTAATTTTTTATTTATATCTTTTAAGTAATTATAAGCATTTTGTGAATTTGGTATTCAGCGTACATTGTACTTATTTTTAATTATAGAGTAAAATTTTGAAGGATTTGATATCAATTTGTATAAATATTGGAATACCTTTCTTTCTGTCAATTCTTATAAATGTGATCATTCAAATTTTAAATTGCTGTAGCAATATATGCTGCGTCATTGCCAACTGTGTAACAGCGATTGCATTTACGGAGCGTGCTATTACATGCATGATTATCTTTATCGTTAATTAGATATAAAACAAGGACAAATTCATCAGCGCTGATAGTACGCTTCCTGAAAGCAGCCAGTTTTAAATAATTTTTATGATAAAAGAAGTCTGAATTGATCGATAAATTCGTTTTTATTATTTTACAATATTCTTAACTGTAGTTAAGACAGTTGAATGTACACGATTTAATCCTAAATATCGTGTTTTATCCAATTAAAATAAGTTATCTGATATATGTATATTAAAGCGTCATGTGCAGATGTGACACAAAAAGGTAACATTAAACTTTGGCTTAGTTTTTAGTTAATATTTATTATTACTTACATATAGTTTGAAAAGATTGGAGAATATTATTTATTATTTATTGGAGATAATGTTATGTTTGCATGTGCTTTGTAAATCCTGATTTATTTTAATAACCAATTAGCAGATATGGCACTTAAAATTTTGGAGCCTTGTATGGTGCATTTAAATAATTTTATTACTGATTTTGAAAAGCACAACAGTTTACAAACCGATTCGTCAATCATAATAAATATGTATGTATCTATGCGACGAGAGGTTACTGCTGTTAAATGATACGAAATCTTCTTTTCGATATGTATGTTTCTTTCATATATTGTGCAAGCAGGGAAGTACAAAGGTCGCTAATTATGAAATTATTTATGAATATGTCTCAATCGAAAATTATCGCGGCTGCATTGTAATTACGATTAGCTATTCTTAAAACATACATTGTTATATGTACCGGATATTGAATCGATAACAAATTGCCTATTCAAGCAGGCGAGCAATACCGTTTACAACTGCGTAAATTTCGACGACACAAGCAGTGGCTTACCTTTCTTTCAATACAGTTCATAGCACATCAAATTGTGATAGAATTATGACGAATTTCCGTAGCCATGCAGCGATCAGATTTTAAAATTTTTAAAAACTTCTAAAAGATCAGAACTATTGTTATAATCTATCAGGAACGAAAGAACTAATCGAGAACAATAAAATTTTATAATAAAAATTAATATTTTCAAAACGTGAAGTGCAAAGTTAAAATTTTATTATACTTTTCAACTGTTATTCTATTTAACTCAATCATCAGAACTATTTCTTAAATCTGTTGAACTATATAGAACTATTGTGGATACCTATTAGCGTTCGAATTTAATCTTTGACAAGTGGACTCCTTGTCATAGTGTCGAGGATAGTGGAAAATACAGTAAAAATGGAGAAACGCGCGTTTATGTGTTTTTTCGCTATGACAATTTTTTTTAAGTTCACGTGTTGTTATGACACGAAGAAATATCCGTTGATCATGCCAAACGTGAGACCGAATACAGTAAGTATAAATCTTCAGGTTTTATGAACATTGCATTATATAAAACAATTTAACGATGTGACAACATATGATTCCTGCGACACATAAAATTATGGCGTATAAATTATCAAACAATTGATAGCTTTTTTGCAAATACATATATCTACACATTTTGTATTATCGATCTTAAATTTACTTTTTATGACTTACTAATAAATATTACTATGATTTACAAAATATTAATCACAATGTTAGTGTAATAAATAATCTCTTAACCATTTTTAACATTTACATTATTTTTTTAGAATGAAAATTATATCTCACATTTTGTTTACAGCCCGAATTGTATCTATGCACTCCGGTTAGGGTAGACTTTGCAAGAAATTATTATATTGTTGGTTTCGAGCCAAATACAACAATGGCAATAACTCATCATATGATGGTCTTCGGTTGCAAGAAACCAGGTAGCTCAAAGTTAGTTTGGGACTGTGGAGAAATGTCGAATACTAACAATAAGGCAGATACTGCGCCTCCTTGTGCAGAAGGAACTCAGGTAATATATTAGTGTCACAAAACATATTTTACAAATATGTTTCAAATATTCTGTTGAAGAAAAGAATATATATTTATTTGTACAGGTCATTTTTGGATGGGCACGGGATGCTCCTAAATTCGATCTACCAGAAGGTGTGGGTTTTAAAGTAGGCGGCGATTCTCTCATCCAATATCTCGTATTGCAAGTGCATTACGCACACGTTGAAGACTTTAAGGACGGCAGAACAGATGATTCAGGCGTATTTCTGCATTATACTACGCAAAAAATAGATAAGCTGGCCGGAGTTATTGCGTTAGCAACAGGCGGTTTTATACCGGCTAAGGAAACGGCACATATGGAATCGGCTTGTTCTATAACAGAAAATAAAACTATTCATCCATTCGCATTTAGAACGCACACCCACTCGCTTGGAAAAGTCGTGTCCGGTTACGTAGTGAAGCCGAATAACAATTGGATTGAACTTGGTAAGCGAGATCCACTAAAACCTCAGATGTTTCTTCCCGTTACCCACAAAATTCCAATCACATATGGTGATACGTTAGCTGTCCGTTGTACAATGAAAAGTACACGCGATAGAACTACGTATGTAGGCAGTACAAATAAAGATGAAATGTGTAACTATTATATTATGTATTACGTCGATGAAGGCACTCCGCTTAAACGAAAATCTTGTTTTACCCGTGGACCTCCTTTGTATTACTGGAAGCAAGAGTTAAGTAACATTCCTGACAGAGAAGCATCTATTTTATAATATAACAAAAATTGTCATTTGGCACAAAGAAAGAGGTATACCGATTTTGTTTTATGAAAGAGGATTAGATAAAATCTCAATAGTTTTGCAGATTATTTAAATGCATTTAAATCGAGTTCATCAATGGTATGGTTGATATTGAAAATTGTATTGCTTTAATATAATTTATGACAGATTATTTTAGATCTTTTAATAGTTCATTATTTAGTTTAATATTACTAATAGTTTATTATTATTCCTGATGCAACTTCTACCAATTTAATTTATTCTATTGTTATGCCTTGAGTTTCGGGTACTGTTTAATTCTGATGCATCTTTGTTAGAGGTGTTATCTCAGCAAAATAACTATTATTTACTCATCGTACACACAAATTATTCTGAATTAATTTTTTACTTGTATCTTTTTAAATGATTATAAGCGTTTTGTGAATTCTATAATTAAAAGTATATTGTACTTATTTTATTTAAAATTTTGAAGGACTCGATATTAATTTATAACATTTGAATTAACTCTTCTTATCAATTCTTATAAATGTGGCACATGATCATTCAAATTACTTATATATGCTGCGTCATTATACCGATGGACTATATGTAATAACGACGTTATTTACATTACTCGGCACACTGTTATCAAACATTATATTTTAAATATTATTAAGCATATAACTATCGTTCCCGTTACGTCAAACTCGCTAACTATATTATTAATAAAGAAAATCGCGTAGCGCGTCCAAACTTTTGACCGATACTGTATATATATATATCAAAGCGTATATACGCCCATACAGATACAAAAAGGTATCATTAAACTTCGGCCTAATTGCAGTTAATATTTATTATTACGTACATGTAATTTGAAAAAATTAAAGAAATTATTAAAGACACGATTAGAATTGCAGTTTCTTAATTTAAACCTTGCCACGAGATTCTTGCGATTTGATTAAAGTAAAACCGTGTTACATTTTTTAAGTACTTCTTTTTAACTGAATCACCGAAACTGTTAAAATCTATCACAAATTGTAGAACTGCGAGTGCAAACAGAACTATTTATAAAACTTAAAATTTTTGAAACCAAGGTACTGACTTTACAGGAAGGAACTAGGTGTCGCGTATCGGTCAACATATAGTGTTTCACTCTTGCAATTCTTGTCACAGTGCTGATAAGGGCCGTGGAACATACGTACACGGTACAGTTCGAAAATGGAGAACTGCGCGTTTTCGCGTTTTTTCGCTTTGGCGGTTTTTTTCAAGTTCACGTGCTCTTATGACACCAGGATGTACTCGTTGATTATGCCAAATGTGAGACCAAACAAAGTAAGTATACATATAATATAAATATATATATATATCACACTATGTATTAACTTTAATTTAGTTTCTATGACGATTTATTAAATACCACTCATAGTGCTAGCGTATTACATATAATCTCTTAACTTTTTTAAAAAGTAAATCATAATTTTTTTAGAATAAATATTATATTTAATATTTTGTTTACAGCCCGAGTCATATTTATGCACTCCGATTAAGATAGACTCTGCAAGGAATTATTATATTGTTGGTTTCGAGCCAAATACGACAATGGCAACAATTCACCATATGGTTGTCTTCGGTTGCACGAAACCAGGAAGCTTAAAATTAGTTTGGGAATGTGGACAACAATTAAATCCTAATAATAAGATAGATAATCCACCTCCTTGTGCAAAAGGAGCTCAAGTAATATTAATATCACAAAACATATTTCACAAATGTGTTTTAGATATACTGTCAAAAACAAAATTCATTTATTTATACAGGTCATTTATGGATGGGCAAGGGATGCTCCTAAATTTAATCTACCAGAAGGTGTGGGTTTTAAAATAGGCGGTGATTCTCCCATCCAGTATATCGTATTGCAATTGCATTACGCACACGTTGAAGGCTTTAAGGATGGCAGAACAGATGATTCTGGTGTATTTCTGTATTATACTGCGCAAAGAATGGACAAGCTAGCCGGAATTATTTCATTAGTATCAGGTGGTTCTATACCGGCTGGGAAAACGACACATATGGAATCGGCTTGTCGCATGAAGGAGAATAAAACTATTTATCCATTCGCATTTAGAACGCATACCCATTCGCTCGCAACTGTCGGGTCCGGGTACGTAGTAAAGCCGAATAACAATTGGATCGAACTTGGTAAGACTGATCCACTTAAACCTCAGATGTTTCTTCCCGTTACCCACAAAGTTCCAATCACGTATGGTGATACGTTAGCTGCCCGTTGTACAATGAAAAGTACGCGCGATAGTATTACGTACGTAGGCAAAAGAAATCAAGACGAAATGTGTAACTATTATATTTTGTATTATGTCGACGAAGGCACTCCGCTTAAACAGAAATCTTGCTTTAGTCCTGGGCCTCCTTCGTATTACTGGAAACAAGAGTTAAGTAATATTCCTGACGAAGAGGCATCTACTTTATAATATAATCAATGAGTATCAATTGGCACAAAAATACATCGATTTTGTTCTATCAAAGAGAATTAGATAATATTTCAATACTTCTGCGAATTATTTATAAATGCATTTAAATTCAATTCGTCATTGATATAAAGTCAGTACTGGGAAAACATACCGTCTTATAATATCCCAGTACAATATATGGCAGATTTTCTAATAGTTTATTATTTATTATTCCTAATGCACCTTTTACCAATTCTATTTATTTTATTGTTATGCCTTGAGTTTAGGTTTGTGTTTAATTCTGAAGCAACTTGAAGATGTTATCTCAGCAAAATGCTGATTATTATTTATTCCATGTTTGTACACACAAATTATTCCAAATTAATTTCTTATTTATAGTTTCTTAAGCGATTATAAGCATTTTGTGAGATCTGTAATCAGAGTATATTGTAGTTAATTTATACAAAATTTTAAAACTCGATATTAATGTATAACATTGTAATACCTCTTCTTATCAATTCTAATAAATTCATATTACTATGGTAATGTATGCTGCGTCATTGTCGATAGACTATATGTCACCGGCTAAAAGGTTGCAACATTTTTTTTATAATCATTTTCAGAACACAGTTTGTTCACCGAGCGATTGATTTCTACCAGTGGATTTAATTAAAGCAATTATGTTCAACCGCTCCACAAGCAAAACTGCATTCAATACTTCACTAAAATAAAAAGTGTTGCAACCTTTTAGCCGGTGACTTATATTTAAAAACAACTTCCCTCATGGAGCATGTTATCGGCGGGATTTCGTAATTATCTTATTGTTATATGTAAAATAAGGAAAAAATAATGAGCTGATAGTAGCTTTTCGAACACAGCCATTTATATATAATTTTCTTGTCATTATTACAAAAGGTCACAATAATTATAAATTCGCTTGTTTTACAATATTCTTTAGAATGCAGTTTTCTTAAGACAGGTTTGAATTTTTTTTATTTATGTAATTTAATCCCAAATATCGTGTTTTGTTCGATTAAAACAAGTTATTATATGGTATAAGTATATGTATATGTAAATTACAATATGGTAAAAAAAATAACGTTAAACTTTGGTCTAGTTTCAGTTAATATTTATTGTTATATAATAATTTAAAAGGATTGGGAAAATTATTAGAGATAATGTTACGGTTGTATGTTGCTTTATAAATCTTGATTTATTTTAATAACCAATTAACAGGTTTAGAACTCCGAATTTTGAAGTCACTTGTACTGTAATTACGATTAATCATTCTTAACATACACATATTGTTGTATGTACATGCACGCTTAATTCTCTACGCATTTTTTTGGATGGAATTGCATTGAGTTTGCAACGATGTTTCTTAAATAAACTTTGCCACCAAATTCTTATAATTTGACTTAAATCAAATTACCGACAAATATCAATCGCATGTTCGTTTACGCTAATTACGCAGATGCAGCGTAAAACTTGTTAGGCTGTTTCGTAACGAATCTTTCTTGTAACAATTTTATGTTGAAATTTTGTTTCATGGTGCAGGATCGCATCTCGAAAGAATGTATGTAACTTGGGAAACAATTGTAATTAACGTATAAATTATGCTATAGATGTCGATTATAAGTTATTTTGTCGACATTAAAAAATTGTTTGCTTGACTAGAATTTGCAATAATGTGGTATTTTATTTTAGTGATAAGAATTTAGAGCACGGGATTAAAAATTGTTTAAAAATAGTTATAAACTGAAACTGTTGCTGAAATTTATCAGGAACTACAGAACTCTATGAGAACTATACAATTTCATGATAAAAATTAATATTTTCGAAAATTGAGATGTCAAGCAATTAATTGCAAAAATTTTTTTAAATTTTCAAAGGTCAGAATTTGCCGCTATAATTTATCAAAAACTATAAGAATATAAAACTTTAAAGAATTATATAATTTTATGATAAAAATTAATATTTTCAAAACTTGAAAATATGTATGCTGGAGGTATGCTCGAGGTGCGAAGTTAGAATCTTATCCTATTTTTTAAATGTTACTCTTTTTAGGACCGACTGCTGCCAACCTTCGGTTTGCAAAAAACGGAGGGAGTGCTTTTCACCGAGCCAAATCGGTTGTTATTAACTAAACCACCAGAATCATTAAAAACGTATCGTAAAGTATAGAACTATTACGATTGCAAATTTTTATTAAATTTTATCAAGAACTATTGATAAAACTTTCAATTTTTGAAAGCGAGGTGCCGACTTCGCAGAAACGAACTATAGGTGTCAGATATCAATCGACCTATAGTGTTTGACAAGTGGATTCCTTGTCGTAGTGTTAATAAGGTGCAAAATACTGCAAATACTTTGAAAATGGAGAAACGCGCATTTACGTGTTTTTTTGCTTTGGCAATTTTTTTTAAGTTCACGTGCTGTTATGACACGAAGAAATATCCGTTGATCATGCCAAACGTGAAACAGAACAAAGTAAGTCTATATAAACCTTTATATAAACAATACATATAAACATAATACGATTAAATGACGTGACAACGTAGCTCTTGCGACACATAAAAATACGTCGTACAAACATTATCAAACATTTATCAGCCTTTTTACAAATACATATATTTACACATTTTATATTATCTTTAATTTTTTTATTTTTTATGACAATTTTATATTAAATACTACGTACGATATAGTGTGTAACGTATAATCTCTTGATTTTTTTATAACTAATTTACATAATCTACTCAGAATAGATATTACATCTAATTTTGTTTACAGTCCGAATTGTATTTATGCACTTCGATTAGAGTACGCACTATAAGAAATTATTATATTATTGGTTTTGAGCCAAATACAACTATGGCGACTCATCATATGGTTGTCTTCGGTTGCACAAAACCAGGAAGCTCAAAATTAGTTTGGGAATGTGAACAAATGTTGAATTCTAACAACAAGGCTGATACTTCATCACCTTGTGCAAAAGGAGCTCAGGTAAATTAATATCAACAAAACATATTTCTCAAATACGTTTTAGGTATATTATGTTGAAAAAAAAATTTCATTTATTTTTACAGGTCATTTATGGATGGGACAAGAATGCTCCTAAACTCAATCTACCAGAAGGTGTGGGTTTTAAAATAGGCGGTTATTCTCCTATCCAGTATATCGTATTGCAAGTGCATTACGCACGCGTTGCAGACTTTAAGGATGGCACAACAGATAACTCTGGTGTATTTCTGCATTATACTACGCAAAGAATGGACAAACTGGCCGGAGTTATTGCATTAACATCAAACAGTTACATATCGACTAGAAAAACGAAATCGACTTGTCTTATAAGAGAGAGTAAAACAATTTATCCATTCGCATTTAAAACGCATACCTATTCGCACGGAACAATCGTGTCCGGCTACGTAATGAAGCCGAATAACGATTGGATCGAACTTGGTAAGAGAGATCCTCTGAAACCTCAGATGTTCTTTCCCGTTCCCCACAAAATTCTAATAACATATGGTGATACGTTGACTGTTCGTTGTGTAACAAAAAGTACGCATAATGGGACTACGTACATAGGCAACGCAAATCAAGATGAAATGTGTTACTTTTTTCTTATGTACTACGTCGACAAAGGCTCTCTGCTTAAACTGAAATTTTGCTTTAGCCCTAGTCCTCCTTTGGATTATTGAAAGTAAGAGTTAAGTAATTTTCCTGACAGAGAGGCATCTATTTTATAATGTATCAAAGAGTATCATTTGACACAAAAATAGACCGACTTTATTCTTTCAAAGAGAATTAGATAAAATTTCAATACTTGCAGATTATTTAAATGCACTTGAATCCAATTCGTCAATGAAAGGGTCGATATTTGAAAACCATACTGTTCTAGTATAATTTATGACAGTTCTTCTAATAGTTAATTATTTATTATTCCTGATGCTAACTCTTACCAATTAAATTTGGTCTATCGTTATGCCTTGTGTTTAGGATTATGTGTTTAATTTCTGAACTTGAATGTGTTATTTCAGCAAAATGACTGACTATTATTTATATTTAATATATATTTATTGTACACACAAATTGTATTATATATATTCCGAATTAATTTCTTACTTATATCTAATTTTTAAGTGATTATAAACGTTTTGTGAATTTTGGTGAATTAGGGTACATTGTACTTAATATACGTAAAAACGAAGGACTCGATATCAATTTATAACATTAGAATACCTCTTCTTATCAATTTTTATAAATGCGGCATATGATCATTCAAATTATTATAGCAATTTATGCTGCGTCATTGCCGATGGACTTTATGTGTCCATCCGCTCAGAAAGCGTGCTATCAGCGCAATTTGGTAATTATCTTTATCGTTAATTAAATGTATAGCAAGGACAGTATAATACAGTAGCGTGACAGCATTATGCTCTTTGATCCCGATCGTATGACCGTTTATGCGAATTACGCAGATCAATCGTAAAATTATTGAGCTGTTTTACAACGAATCTTTCTCGTACCAATTTCTGATCATAATGAAATTTTATTTCACGATGCAAGATAGCATTTCGAGACAACATTCGTCACTTGAAAAACACAACTATAATTGACCTATAAATTATGCCATAAGATACAGATTATACTATTATTTGTCAATTTGTAACAACCCGACAAAGAGTTGATTAAAATTTGCAATAATGTAACATTTTACTCTTGTGATTATGTACGTTAGGCACGGATTTAAAAATTGTTTAAAAATAGTTGAAGGTCGTTGTTGGCCCTAAAACTTTATAAAAATCTTTGGAGCTATTGGAAAAGGTCAAAAATTCAGCTGGAACTAGCACTAACGTGCGACTTTACTCTTATATTGTGGCGCCAGCACGAGTTGAAAAATTATTTAAAAATAGTTAAAGATCGGAATTATCGTTAAAATCTATTAGGAACTATAAAACTCTTTGAGAACTATAGAATTTCATAAAAATTAGGAATCTCATAAAAATTAATTTTTTCGGTAATTGAAATGCCATGTAGCGATCAAAAAGAAATTTCTTAAAATATTTAAAGATCAGAAATATCGCTAAACTTTATCAGGAACTATAAAACTTATTGAAAGCTATGGAATTTCATGATAAAAATTAATATTTTCGAAACTTACGGTGCGGATTTAACAACCAATAACATTTTTGAAATGTTATTCTCTTTAATTAATTAATCAACAAAACTATTTTTAAAATCTATTAGAAACTATAGAACTATTGTGGATAACTATTGTGTGGATATATATAGAACTATTGTGCAAACATAATTAACTATTGATAAAACTTTCCATTTTTTAAAGTGACGTGCTAACTTCGCAAAAATGCGAAAAGGCTAAGTGTCGATACTGACTAGCTTTGTAGTATTGCCAGGTGGATTTCTTGTCACAGTGTTATAAGAGCCGTGAAAGATACTCGTGTTTGAAAATGAAGAAACGCGCGTTTATGTATTTCTTCACGTTCGCAATTTTTTTTAAATTCACGTGCTGCTATGACACGAAAAAGTACTCGTTGATTATGCCAAACGTCAGACCAAATATAGTAAGTATAAACCATTTTTATAAACAACACATAAAACAAAATACAGTCTAACGCTGTGATAACATATGGCTCTCGCAATACACAAAAATATGGCGTATAAACCATTAAACAATTGACAGCTTTTTCCCCCAAATACATATATCTACATATCTCTTTAATTTAGTTTTTATGATGTTTTAATAAATACTACTTGGTAGTTTGTAACAGATAATATCTCTTAATTTTTTTATGTGTAATTTACATAATTATTTCAGAATAAAAAATTATATCCGACATTTTGTTTATAGCCCCAGTTATATTTATGCACTCCGATTAAGGTAGACTCTGCAAGGAATTATTATATTGTTAGTTTTGAGCCAAATTCAACGATGGCAACAGCTCACCATATGCTTATCTATGGTTGCACAAAACCAGGAAGCTCAAGGGCAACTTGGAACTGCGGAGAAATGACGAAAACTAATAACGAAACAGATACTGAACCTCCTTGTGCAGAAGAATCTCGAGTAAGATTAATGCCATAACATATTTTACAAATATATTTTAGATATACTGTTGAAGAAATTAAATTCATTTATTTATACAGGTCATTTATGCATGGGCAAGAGATGCTCCTAAATTAGATTTACCAGAAGGTGTGGGTTTTAAGGTAGGTGGCGATTCTCCCATACAGTATCTTGTATTGCAAGTACATTATGCATACGTTGAAGACTTTAAGGATGGCAGAACAGATGACTCAGGTGTATTTCTGCATTATACTTCGCAAAAAATGGACAAACTGGCTGGAGTTATCCTGTTAACAACAGACGGTTCCCTACCGGCTAAAAAAACGACACATATGGAATCGGCTTGTACTATGACAGAGAATAAGACTATTCATCCATTTGCATATAGAACGCATACCCATTCGCTCGGGAAAGTCGTGTCCGGCTACGTAGTGAAGCCGAATAACAATTGGATCGAACTTGGTAAGAGAGATCCATTGACACCTCAGATGTTTTATCCCGTTACCCATAAAGTTCCAATCACGTATGGTGATAAGTTAGCTTCCCGTTGTACAATGAAAAATACGGGCGATAGGACTGTAAATGCAGGCAGCCGTTTTGACGATGAAATGTGTAACTTTTATCTTATGTATTACGTCGAGGAAGGCACTCCGCTTGAACAGAAATATTGCATTACCCCTGGGCCTCCTTCGTATTACTGGAAGCAAGAGTTAAGTAATATTCCCGACAAAGAGGCATCTACTTTATAATATATCTAAGAATATTATATCATTTGGCACAAAAAAAGACCGACTTTGTTTGATCATATAGAATTGAAGATAAAATTCCAACGTTTCAACAAATTATTTAAATTATGTATTTGAATCCAATTTATCAATGGGTTGATATTTGAAGACTAAATCATCCTAATATGATTTATAACAAGCTTTTAATAATTTATTTTATTATTTGTTATTCCTGATGTAGCTTCTACCAATTTAGTTTATTCTATCGCTTCGCTTGAGTTTACGATTACGCGTTTAATCCTGAAGCAACTTGGTGATGAGTTATCTCAGCAAAGTGACTATTATTTATTCATTAAGTATATGCACAAATTATTCCGAATTAATTTCTTATTTATATCTTTTTAAGTAATTACAAGCATTTTGTAAATACTGTAATCAATATATACATTGCGCTTATTTAACGTAAATTTTTAGGACTTTATATCAATTTATAATATTGGAATATCTCTTTTTTTTAATTCTTATTAATGTGATGTATGATCATTCAAATTACTATTGTATTGTCGATCGACTGCATTCGATTATGTAACTATGTTAGCGCTGTTGCGTAATTTCGTCCTTGTTTTACGTTTAACGATAAAGATAATGGCCGCGCTGACGGTACTGTCATTCTATTTTTATCATTAATTAAACGTAAAACGAGGACAAAATGATGCTGATAACACGCTGCTCGAATCGAACGCAGCCAGTATTATACTATAAATAGTTATATACATATAGATACATATACATATTTTTCGTGACGAATGAAAATTTAAATTGACCGATAATTATAAATTCGCTTCTTGTTTAATCAATTATTCTTCTATAATATTCTTGACTGCAAAGACAGTTTTTGAATTTACATAATTTAATTCCAAGCATGTATCATATTTCAGCCGATAAAAAAAAAAAATTATTATATGTATATGTATATATTCAATTGCCATGCAAATATGATATCGAAAGATAGCATTAAACTTTAGCTTAATTTCAGTCAATTTTTATTAACTGAATTGTTTATTCATATTATTTGAACGTGTACGAACACGTTATTTGAAACAATCTGGAGAAATTATATGTATAGCGTGGATCGATAGAATATCCAGTATAGAATAGTTTATGTATCACAAGACAAAATGGTTTATGCATTTGTTTTACTTACAAATTGCATTTGTTTGTAACAATATGTATTAAGATGTATATGACTTGATATAGTTATTAAAATGATCAATCAGGTAAACAGATAATTGTTTTGTATCTAGCATGGATTAGAATGCATTCACAAATGCGTTCGATTATGACCAGTAACCTGTTCAAGGCGTTTTGTCCATTTTAATTGTCGATTATTTTATTAACGTAAACAAAATTAGTAATTTTTGTTGTTCAGTATACGAAAGGAAGAATTAAAGATTATATAGAGATAACAAATTATATAAGTAGAAATTTTGTCGTTAGCAATGCTTGAATTAATCGCGCTAAGTCGATCGGAGTTGAGTCAAAATTATTTTTGGAGGCCACGCTGCTAAAATCCGCATTGGCATATATATCACATTCCATGGAAAAAAGATAGATATTGGTATGTAAGATAACCGAATCGCTTTTGAATGTTGTGCAATTTCATTAGCATTTATTTTGTATATCATAATAAATTAAGTACATGTCTCTGTAAAGCTTGCTAATTATGAAATTAATCTTGAAACAGCATGTCGAATGTTATGGCGATTAAATTGTATAATCACGTTGTATCAGCCATTCTTAACGTATACATATTGTTCTATGTATGTATGTACAATGCACGTTTCTCTACGCACTTTTCTGGACGGAATTACATTGAGTTTGCAACGATGTTTCCCAATTGAACTTCGCCACAAGATTCTTGCGCTTGGATTAAAGAACGCGGAATTTTCTATATCGCTCCTTTACGCAATAAATACGCAGATCCAGCGCAAAACTATTAGGCCGTTTTGTAACGAATCTATCTCTATAATAATTTTACGAAATTTTATTTCGCGGTGCAGGATCGCATCTCGGGGGAACGCCACGTGGGAAACACAGCTGTAATTGACGTATATAAATTATGCTATATAGATATATCGATTATAAATCGATTTTAAGACACGACAGGAACTTCGGACGAGAAACTTCGTCGACAGCCAGTCGCATCTCGTTGCAAAACGTACAATGACGCAGTTTATCTCTTATTGATGTATATATCGCGTATTTGATCCGTCAGCCATTCGATCGCCGGCTGCAGACCCTCGCCGGTCAACGCGTTCGTCGCCCGTATGTGCCAGGGCTTATTTTGTATTCGCTCGAGTCCCAGCCCTGCGACAAGTTTTACGGTGGTCAAGGAATCCGGCAGGTCCATCTTGTTCGCCAGGAAGAGGATGGGTAGCTTGCGTCCTGAAACGTTCACTTCGCTTTCGATCGTATCAAGACTCCCGTTTAGGAAATCGCGAAACACAAATCACGCATTCGGATGGGTTTAGATGACTCTAAATGACCGTGATTTCTATCCTAACTTATATGCCAAACGAGCACTCTCTATTAGAGTTTTATCGTTCACCATGAAACGTACCTGCCACGTCGGGATGCTGCAGGAGCATGTCCAGCTCCTCCTTCACGACAACCAGTCGTAATTTATCGCTGCTGTCAATTATGAAGATGATCCCGTGGCAATCTTTGTAATAATGCTCCCACAATGGTCTATGACGATCGTGACCCGACATATCGAACGCGGTGAAACTGACATTCTTAACTGAAACAAAATAACTTCGGCTTAATCACATTGAAATAAAAGCAAATTAAGTCTTAATATGTCCTAATATTAAATGAATTGCACACGGAGAGAATTTTTTTTTAAATTTACCCTGCAAATCACGTTAATTATGAAACAATATAGTATTTAGGCAAATTTTACTGTGCATTACAATAAGATTTCGCAGTAAAATTTATTGTAGTGCACAGTAAAATTTACCTAAATACTATATTGTCTCACAATTAACATGATTTTCAGGGTAAATTTTAAAAGAAAATTCTCTCCGTGCATATACATATATTTGTACGTATCAATTCGTGAACAATTTTATTTAATTCGTTATATTTTGCTAATATATTTTGATAATAGATCTTCCTTTTTCGCGACAGAATTTCTTTTGCAGGATAGCTTTGATTAAAATCTTCTCGTTTATTAATTGAGCCTCTCAGAATTAAGTCAAGATGACTTCGGTTTTTATAAATTTTTTTACTTTAATATCGGAGTATAACATTTATGATATCATCAATTTTCTCTAGCTTGACTGCATGAGAGAATCAACATGTAAATAAATACAAAAAATAATTGACATAAATAAAGTCATAGAAATGCTAGTTTCAGTTATATCCGAGAAAATTTTCAAAATATTCTAAGATGACTTAATCAATTAATAGCTCTGATTAACTTAATCGGTAATTAATTCAGGTAGAATTGCTCATTACAAAATTCCTAGCTATATAAATCATTATGCCTAATATAATCATTTTTCCATGTATTTAACATTTTAAAAAATAATATAATTATTCTCTCCATATGAACGAAATGATACAAGTAGGTATCGCTGTTCAAATTAATTGGAATTCAGTGAAAGTTGCTCCCATCATATATACTATATAATATCTGTATTTTATTGAATGAAACAGACGTGAATAGAATTATTTAATTTTTAATTTTTCAATTATTAATTAAGTTAACCGGAGCTTCGTCTCGAAATCGTTTTTAATCATCGATTAGAATTAATTAAAGTTTGCGGTGAAATCCGTCCAAAGAACGCGCTCTAGCAGAAATATCAATGCGCCATCTGAACGATCGAGAAAAGTGGAGCAGTCAGGAAAGGTAAACAGTGGAGAACCGGCGCGGATAATCTTGGCGCGAATTTGTCCGATCGTTGTCATTGTTGCGAGTGATATAATGATTCTCTCGAACGAAAATGCTGACGCGTAATTCCTCTAACAGCGACGACGGAAATGTCGAGCCGGCGAGCAAAAGTGCGTGAACCGCGTATGAAATAAAGATCCTAACCCCACTGTGATCCCAAACCCCACGGGAAGGTTAACCGATTTTTCCGACTTTTAGACGCGGCGGAAAAGGGGAAGCTGCTCCGCGAGATACAGGAGCTGAAATCCATTATCGAGCAGTGCGAGTGGAACTTGCAAACTGTGCGCTTTAAGGACGTGGAGCAACGCCCGCGACGCCCGATCGAGAGACGCGCGCGAAGCCCGGAGGCTACCTCGCACTCCGGCAAGCCGCCGAACGTCGAGGTCGATCTGCAGAACGAGCTGTACACATTCGCCGGTTTTCATTGCGCCAAATTTCGGAGGAATGAGATCGTGTTTAATTTCACGTCGAGCAGAGCCACGGACGAAGAGCGGAGGGACAACGACACTCACGCGGTGCAGATTTTGATGAAGGATAAAAAGGGCGAGCTGGGAAAATGGGTGATGCCGATGTCGATCGATATGAATTACATATTATCCAAGAGGCCTCTCGACAATTTGAAAAATTTAACCGCCTTCACAAAGAGCTGCAAGCACAATATTGACTGCTACGCCGCGCGGCAAGAGCAGTTCCTGTCGCTAAAGGTACATTTTCATCTTACGAAAAATGATTGACGTGCAGTGTTGCTCTCTTTCGAGCTGTGACACTACTAGATAAATAGTATCTGTTACTCTCTTTCTGTCAGCACTATTAAATAAATGTTTATTTTTCTAGAAACGTATGTCGCATTTGAAGAATTGCACCCTGCAGTCTGACATAGGATTTAAGCAAATCAGCTTGGAATTGTGCGGCGTGCACGATAGTGAAAATGACAGATATGTAAACTTAACAATTCACGTGCTGTATTATTCTGACCAAGCGAGGCCTTACAAAATTGAGATTGACAAGAGCAGGTTAAGCGACGATATCAAGCGGAGATTAAAGATATGCATGAGGGAGTTTAAAATATCAGACTTACAAACTGCGTTCGACAAGTTCTTAACAGAGGGCAATTCCACATTTACGTGGATGCGGACAGACGACAGTGAAAGCCCATTAGAATTGAACGTATGGCATTTAAATATATAAAGTAATCGAACGATTTTTTTTGTGTTCACGATTAAAAGTAACAAATTTATTTTTAGGACACTGACAGCTCTAACGAGGGAGACTTCTTGAGTCAACTGCAATCAGAGCGGAAAAGATCGTTGAGAAAACTCCGGAAAAAACGTGAATTACAGAAGAAATGGAATGAGAGAAAAAGGCAAAGAAATATTAAAAATATTGAATCGTCAGAAGAAGAAGGTCAGGAGGATGATCGCTCGAAAACGAAAATATCACGCACTGAAAGTACACGGCAAATTTCGATGGGGGCAAAGAAAGCAGAGAAGGCTGTGTCTATTTCAAAACGAGAGAAAATTAATACAAATCTATTAGTGGAAACGACGCCGCTGTACAAACCTAAAGTTAAATTAAAACAGACAAAGTTAAATTTCCAGGCTCAAGAGGCTACGAATTCTAATGCAAATCAAACATCTCTGTCTGAATCGAAAGTGCGTGACAGAATTGTCAGCAAGCAGTCGAATATCGCGAAATTTATCACAAGCACACCAATATATAACAAGTTCCATACTAGAAAGGTGCTCTCGTCTAGTCTGGAGATTAATAACATTACATCTATTCAAACTACAAGGAGAACGGCGAACAAATTAAATGACTCCAAAAATAGTGATCGGCCTGAAAAAAGACCAGAAAAGGAGAGAAATGAGCGATTATCACGAAGTACCTCGAGGATCACTGGATCACGGATTTTAAGGAAAAGTCAACGCCTTACAAAAAGTATGAAAAAATAAATATGTAAGATACGTAAATGTTTAGACATGACAATAAAGCATATCGGTTTACTTTCTATTAAATATATACTTTTCGTCTTCTGTTAAATCTATACTGTTCATCTTAAATATGCATTTCACACATAATTTTCATCGCGTCATCCTTGATGTTATATCTTGTTGTAAAATAAATGGGCAATGGTGTGTGATCTTGAGATTGTGCTGGTGCAACAGTGGGACGCGTGAACGGCGTGAAGGTAGCGTTGTAAGCAACGGAATCTCACAATTCTTGACACTTTGTCTAGCTCCTCGCTATTTAACTTACATGCGAATTTTTCGACATTAAACCCGACAGTGGGCACTATGTCTATGCAACGGTCATCCTCGCGTTTGAAATTATTTATGACCGTCGACTTACCACTGTTGTTAAGGCCCACTACTAAAACGTTTACTTCTTTTTTCCTAAGGCCTAAAAGGTTCGCTAAACGATCGAATAACCCCATTTTCTCTCGGCGCTGCTAAAGCCTTCCCTCTCACGTTTATCGGATATCAATAATCATCCCTACTCTCCCTCCCGTCATTTGCGTTTATCACCTGCGAATTGGAGTGGGGGCGGAAACAACCCTTGTATTGTTTCGTCCGCGCGCCGACTGGGAATTCCTGTTCAAATTTATATTTGAGAATCGCTGACGTGATCTCGACTAAAAGAAAGAAATTTTTTTTGCTAATTTAGCTCCATTTTTCGTACATTTGATGTCAAATTTCTTTATTTTTTTAAATAAAATAAATATATACTGTTAGAAAAAATAAGACGGAATGTATAGAAAACCCAACAAAACAAACAGACCTAAGATTTTGGTAGAAATTTTTCTTTCCGAGTGTGGCATTTCTGCCATTCTGGGGGATTGCATCCATTTCCATCATGTCCACATGGTTTACGTTTTGCGTGTTTATTAAAGTTCAAGATTTAAAGGAACTCGAATAATAATACAAATATATTAATATATTACGGCGATTACTTTCGTTGTTGATTTTTATATATACGATCAATTTTGGCACAACAGATCAAAATGGTAAGTTTTAATGCGTATCTATAAAACGTGTCTCGTTTATGTGTGTATATTTTTTTTAGAGTCTCCACCGGATAGTGGATAATATTTAGATGCTTGCACAATTCACCCTTAGAATTACACAGCACATAACGTTTTTGAATCATTAATTCTGAAATTCTTAATCCTCAATCCTCATTACACGAGATCTTTTAATGTCTGACTCCACAATTTCTTAACCTCAATCTTTCATTGAAGCAAACTTCTGGTCGACTTGTCACTTGACTCGTATATAGCCATCTCATTCATTTTTGCATGAATTTTAGCACCTAGATTGTATTATTTCACATTTCTATAGAATAATAATGTGATTGCAGCCGAAGGGAAAAACGAAAAAGTTCATCGACAAGAAGAATGCCGTTACCTTCCACTTGGTTCATCGCTCGCAAAAGGATCCATTGGTGGCGGATGAAACGGCACCGCAAAGAGTCCTCGTGCCAGCTGCCGATACGCAGGCGGCCAAAGCGGAGAAGAAGTCAATAGACGGTGAAAAACGCAAGGAGGAGCAGCAAAAGTATGGGATTTACTTTGACGACGACTATGACTATTTGCAACACCTTAGAGATGTCAACACGCTGTCAGTGGAGTGGGAGCGTGTCGAGAACACGAACAAGTCCAAAGGCGATGAGGGTACTCCGAAAATTAACTTGCCGTCGTCCGTGTTTGCGTCGAACGTCGAGGAGAAAGTTGGTATGCTCAATAAAGCGGCGCCAGTCTCCGGGCCGCGGCTGGATCTCGACCCGGATGTAGTCGCTGCGATGGACGACGATTTTAATTTTGGCGACCCCGAAAATGAGCTGGAAGATAATTTCATAGAATTGGCTAATGCCGGAAATAGCGACAGCGAGGATTCCGACAGAGAATATGGTATAGGTTTATATTAAAGTGTACAATGATATCATATTTACTTGAGCTTCATGTAGCTTCATACTTTTAGAATATGAATTGAACGAACCGGAAAATGAATCAGATGTCTCATCTGATGGTCACATGGACTTGTCTGACGAGGAGGCAGATGAAGTGTGCAGTTTAAATGGACCTCAATATACTTTTAAGGATGAGGAAACCAAATCGAGATTCACAGAGTATTCTATGAGCAGTAGCGTGATGAGAAGGAACGAACAACTTACATTGCTGGATGACAAATTTGAAAAGGTTTATATATATACCTATATATATATTTTTTAATATGAAATTATTAGACGTTCTTATTTTCTCTCGTTTGTTATACAGATGTATGGCGCGTACGATGAAAATGAAATTGGTGCTTTAGATTGTGACGAAATAGAAGGATATATCGCGCATGACTCGGATCGCATTATGCAATGTGTCACAGAATTTGAAAAGAAACAGAAAGAAGCTGTAAGTATGATCTTCTGAGGTGTGATTTATGGAGAAAAAAGATGATTAAAAGTACTATTTTTCCTCGTATTTGCAGACGGAAAATATCACGGAGCTTATGAAAGATAGAATGAAGATTGTAGAATATCCGAGCTCAGAAGATGAAGCTTTAGAAAAACTTGTCGTCGATGCTCGCGAGAAGGATAAATGGGACTGTGAAAGCATTATAAGCACATACAGCAACATTTACAATCACCCTAAATTAATTTCAGAACCTCCCAAGGTAAATTGTTAATTAAAAAAAAATTATGTAGAATCGTTCATTCCAGTAAAAAATGTGTACAATTTATAGTTATATACTTAGTGATCTTATACGTTTGTATTTCTTTTTAATAGCGATCGAAGAAAATTGAAATCGATCGAAAATCTGGTATTCCGAGAAACGTACTGGGCAATACTGGAAAATTAACGGCTGAAACTTTGGCCCAATTTAATTTGGAAAATAATGCGCTGAAGGGTCCACAATCCGTAGCGGAAAGTAGAAAATCTACTTTAAGCGTTTTAAGTATAAGGCCCAAGGGGGAAACTGCCGATGCGAGAAAAGAAAGAAAACAGATGCTCAAGGAATACAGAAAAGTAATTTTATCAAACCTTTACTAGCTAAATACAAATTTCAAGTTTTATGTATATCACGTAATTTCTGGAATTTTTTCAATTTTAGGAAAGAAGGATAGAGCGAAAGGCGAACGCCGAAGCGTTTAAAGAGGAAAAGAAACGCCAAGAGAAGATTCGATTGAATAACAGGCAGAACATTCAAGGAACTCGTATAATATAGGATCTTTAGTCATAGTAATGTTTTCTAATTGTGACTGCGTCTTTTCAGATTGCAGATAATAACTTTATGTATAAAAGATATACATTGTTGTACATTAAAAACGTTACTGAGCTAGGTTAAATATATATCTGTATTACACAAACATTTAAAAAAATGATAATTTTCTACGTCTGAATTATATATATATGTGACAAAATGTCACCATATAAACTTCATATCTTTACCAATTTTAATTAAAATCTGGAAATTAATTTTAGTAGCATGTGTCTTCTAATTTTATGATCTTAAATCGAGCAAGAAGCTGAAAAGGACAAGGAACCATGTAAAAGCGATTCAGTGTTTAAAATTTTAAATTTACTTTGCATTTAAAATTTCATTCAATCCATCGAGTTGTATATCAGTAACAGACTGATATCCCAATTCGTCGATCGTATGACAAATTAAAAAAAAATCGCGCAACAAACTTTTCGTTGACGTGAAACATTTGGAATGCTCTCGAAGGAGGAGGCTGTTGAGATTCTCTCGTGTGAACTGTGTATCTTGACGGCTGCTCGCCGAGCTTTTTCAATGAGAAAAACCGGAAACGCGTACTTGTGCGTGTGCGGTGCGGTCGAAGGTGGAGCAGGGCCCACCGAGGCCACGTGAGCGAGAGCACGAGATACGGAGCGCCGTCGTTTAAGGCGGGGCAGAGGACGGAAGCTCCAAAGTCATATGATCGATTCGTGACAGAGAGCTCGCCGTTCTCCACTCGCAAAGATGGCCAGCCAGACGCAGGGTATTCAGCAGCTTCTGGCCGCCGAGAAGCGCGCCGCGGAGAAGGTCTCGGACGCCAGGAAACGTGAGTGCCTCTCGTCGGCGATGTTTCGCGCGAGGGAAAGACGAAAAGAAAAAAAAAATACACGCCGCGCGACGCGAATGCGCCGACCGTCGTCGCGGCACTGCGTAAACCTTTCGCACGACGTTGACTCGTTTTTCTGAGGGATCGACGCGTCGCGCGATGCATTTTTAACGATTTCTCCGAGGCCGCGGAATACGTGGGTAAATGAGTTTTGACCGTGCCATTCGGTGAACTCGCGAAATCACGCTCCGCAGTGAGAACGGTCTCGGCTAACCTGCGATCTTGTGTCAATATCAATCGTATACTCGTCCAGATTCACGCAAATCCAGTTTATTCGCTGAATATTTAGCTGTATTTGTAAAGTTCCGACTCCTCTTCGAGGTTTTATTTCGTTACAGATACATTCTGATTTAAGGGTTAAGTTTATGTATTTTTATGCTACTAGTATTGTCGAAATGATATCAAAGTGAAATTGAGTCGGAGTGTAATATCTTTTGTGCAGGAATTTGAGAAAAATCTGAACTGTATCGTTCTAACCTCCCTTTTTCTTACCTTTACAGGTAAGGCACGTCGTCTGAAGCAGGCCAAGGAGGAAGCTCAGGATGAGATCGAGAAGTATCGACAGGAACGAGAGAAACAGTTCCGTGACTTCGAAGCCAAGGTAGGTGTTGTTTGCTCTTCTATTGAGATTTTCGTCGTTAGACTTACATTTCAATAGTCAAGTGAATCAATGACGTAACGATAATGTTACTCGTAGCACATGGGTTCGAAGGAGGACGTGGCTGCGCGCATCGAGGCAGATACGCGACTCAAGATAGAAGAAATGAATCAGACCGTAGCTGTGCACAAAAACACGGTGAGTCCGTTGTATAATTTAGATTGAATCGAAGACAGATGTCCCCCTGAGAAACCACAACTTTCTGCTGTTAATTTCTGCGCAGGTCATGCTTAAAATCTTGGATTTGGTATACGATATCAAGCCGGAGCTGCACACTAATTATCGCATTGAGGTATAAGCCACAAGGACCGTATCTAATAGCTATATAAATATGATACATCTTACGCTATATATATAAATATATATTAAATATTACTGTTCACCATATCTTAATATGTATTTATCGCTGTTATATCGTATGACAATGTTATATTTTATCGGAGGAACGGTATACAATGTAGCTGTAGGCAGTAATACTCAAACTACTCTACCTAGACTCTTTCTCTCCCGCAGTTGCTACACGACAATAAATGTAATCGTATTGTTATTTAACGCTGAGCTTTACACACCGGCACGTAATCGGACAGTTTGAGAATTGCTGTAACGTAGTTGCATCGTAACAAAAAGAGAAAAGAACAAAAAAAAAGAAGTAACATGGATGTGCTCGACCGTCGACTCGACGCGTCAAGGCCTAGACACGTCGGGACGACGACGGTGACGATTGTTACAATAGATATGGTTAAGGGCAGACTTAGGGTGGTGGTATAACGAGAGTTGTATGTCGTTCAGTGTACGCATTAGATGTCATTCCATGATTCTGTCGCATCGAGGACGCGTGAGATGAGATTTTTCCCTACAGCCTCCCGCGGTTCACGGACACGCTCCCAGTCGACGGTGGACCACGCGACGATGTAGCGACATTCGAAACCTCCTAATCTTTTTACGTTTTCAAATCTCTGTTGATATTGCGGGCACCTTTGCCTTACATATAATATCCTTGTCTCTGTGAGCTGGTTGGTTGTACAGTATTAGTGTTCAAAATACAAAAAAAAGGAAAGAAAAATTCACGAAATGCTGTATGATTTTTTGCTCTTCTAACGTTATGCTATTTTCTGAATAGAAAATGCTCGATAAAATATGCTGATGTCGTGAGGAGAGATACGCCAGTAAGGGGGGAGCCCCTTACTGACGTTTTCAAGGACACGTACACTAAATTTACATTTTACAATTTGCGTGATTGTAGCGAAGATTTTCTGCCGATATACTTTGTACGATTATGTAAGCGTTTTGTTTCCGGCGCGTTAGGTATAATTACATTCTTTTCGATTGTCTCGCCGAATTGGCAGACTAGATTAGCGGCATATTTGAATAGTCGTCGCGTGAAATATTGAGTGATTCATCAAACCTCGATCAATAACCGTGTGTTCCGTCAATTATTAACGACGTGAAAATTTGACGATGCCCAGCGATCTTCCCTCGTGTTTCGTATTTATGCACCCTACTTTATAATTTACCATTCAGTTTGGGCTACGTAATTACTCTTTCAGTACGGTAATTGCACAATTTTGTTACGGTTTATCGAATTAATTTCAACCAACGTGATGAAATCACAATGAAAACTGTTTTAGACAATTTTATTACTTAATGAAATCAAAGTCTGATGATCGCAAATTTTTTCTTTATTAAATTTAAGTTACAAATTATCGAGTGTCCGATTCTACGAAATAAAATTTTCTATTTATATAAATTTTATATCTCAAATAATACCGGCGGCGCGATGCGAGAAAGACGTTTGAAGAATTGGAGTAGATATTAATAAAGTGTACAAAGTACAAAATTCAAATAGAATTCTATTGTGAAAGCCGACGTGTGTGAATTACAGAGTAGTCTAAAAGCAGGTTTGAAACAGAAAACAATACGGTTCCAAAGTTCGCCTCGCGCGTTTGCCGTATATTGTTTACGCGTGAAGTTATCAACGTTCGTTGCGTACGGCGTATGTAATACGGCAGTCAGTCAGGCAGTTACGCCACCGGTGGGGGCGTCGATGCGCGCGCGCGCCGCACGGTGGAGGGGATGATCAGCTGTACTTAACTTCCGCCACCTCCCCGCGCGCGCGGCACACCGCACATACGTATATTCGAAGTACGTGCTCCGTTGTGCTCTCCGCGTCGCTCTCACGTCGGGCGCGCGCGGGTGTGCGTGCGTGCGTCCGTGTGGTGGCAGTACCGACGCAGTAGTGGTTGTCGGCCGCGCGGCGCTAGCGCCACTCGATCGAGCGGCCGGAGAGCGATTCGATTTCGCGAACTGACCCGCGGCGGCGGCGAGCGGTTAGTGCGTGTGCCATTCCGCGCCGAGAAATGGAAGCCGACGAGACGCGTCCGGTCTCCGTCACGAGAGCGAGCACGTTGCCGACGTCGCACGTAGTCGTAGCGCGCGAGCCCGTCGCGGTGACAGCTGTGCACGTACGAAGCGTTTGAAGTTTTGTTATGACAAAGAACGTACCGCCGGGCACGACCGGTCGCCGACCAGCCGCGTATCCGGAGGAAGAGAAACCGTTGCTGTCGTTATTATTATTGCCGTCGCCGTCGTCGTTGTCGTTGTTGTCGTCATTGTCACCTTCGTCGCTTTCGTCGTCGTAAACCGTCCCGGGCGCGCGTCGCGACGAAAAGTGGTATATATTTGGTTCTTTGTGAGGAGGAGAGTCGCCGGGCCCTGACACACGGCGAGGGATTAGTTCGACGCGGATTCGAAGGTCGCCGCCGAGGGAGGAGCGATCGCGCGAAGATGTGGTGCCTCGTCAGCCAGGCCAATTCCGTCATCCTCGAGGTGCAGGTCGACCCGAAGGCCATCGGCCAGGAGTGTCTCGAGAAGGTAAGGCCTTTTGTTCTTTGTTTGACAATGGGAACGGAATTGGTATCTCTCGCGCGGCATACATATGTATGTACGTACATGTACGTGTAAAGTGGCGCCAAATTGTGTTTGTTTCCAGGTTTGTACGCATATAAGTCCGATTGAACGGTAAACACCGGATAATTGCAGCCTAATTTTCGCCCCGTTCTCCCCCCGCGTGCACGTTCCCGTGTTTACGCCGTGTTACAATATTCGTGCTGGGTAAATCAAATTCGCCGCTAAGCGCAAATATGAAACGCTTATCTTACCATGTAAGTTACATATCAACAATTCAAATACACTCCGTGTTAACGGGCTCCAAATTTGCCCCCGAGATTATATTCACAAGGAAATATTTGACTTCACACACGTTTGCTTTTTCTGTTGAAATCGATCATCTCGTATCTTGGATCTGGCATCAGATCGAGCGTTAATAAATTATACAGCGTAGTTATATTTTTTTAGCTTAATTATATTCACGAGGAAATATTGGACTTCACACATTTGCTCCACAGTTATATAATTTTATAGTAGTTATTTAGCCTAACAATATATTTACGAGGAAATATTTGATCTTATACATTTGCTTTTTCAGTTGAAATTCATCCTGTTTTCTTAATTTGACGTCAGATCCAATATTGATAAATAATATGATATGATAATATTTATCTTAATAAGATATAATAAACAATTTTATTAAAATATATATATATATGATAAATAATTTTATCGAGATAATATGTCTTGATAGAATAGTAAAATATATTTTATTTAATACAATTAATTTTCTTATCTTCCACGAGATACTTAATGTTTTTATCAGAGACGAGAATGTCTGTTTCGAGAGTCAAAAATCTTAGAGTGTAACAGGACGTTATATTAGCGACTCGGCAAGTTTGACCTTGTTTTCTTTTTTAGGAGGTAGGCGAATGGTATTGTTCCGTTCACGTAGCACCAAATTACGATTAATCAAAATCCATTGGAGAGAGAGAGAGCCAGAGAGCAGTGTGTGTGAAGTCGAATCGCGCTCCCCGTTCTTGTCGACGCCTGAATGATTCATCGTGCAAACTCCTCGCCTGGAGTATTTCCAGACGCGATTCGGGTCGGGACAATTGTACGCGTTTTGCAGCACGAAGAGAGTGCGTCCTCGTGTTGCGCAATAACGCCTCGAGGCGCAGCGGGACTCGCGATTTTGTACGGGAACGTGTGTCGCGTGTGCGACGCACAACGAGACGGAAAAGAATGACGGTAAATCCCTCCGTCTTGACGGAGGCTCTGCCGGGAGACTCATCGAAGATTCGGGTTAAAAGTTAAGATAGACGCGATCGCGATTTTCGGCGCTAGCCTCCCTTTTCGACGTGGATCGACAGATGTAGATTTGTAGGTCGTCGCTCTTCGACGAGCGTGTGAAGTCCTTTCAGTGATTTCCGCGAATTCGCGCTTGAGCGGAGTCGCAGCCGAGTTGATGGCGATCCCAATCGCCGATCTACGAAGGAAAGTTTCGCGCACCGGCAAAGTTTACTTTAGACGCCGCGGGGCGTTCTCGATTTCGATACCAAGAAACTTCTCTCTCGCTCCCCTCGCGAACTGCAATACCTTTTTTTTTTGTATAACACGGACACGCAACCTCGAAGTATATTCCGGTTGTTTTTAAATTAGTCTCTGAAAAGCTTCGTGCGATTGCTTCTCCTATGTGTAAACGATGCTTCTTGTCTGCCACGAATGCCACGTCGATTTCGTCAGGCTGAAACTCAAACTGGTTTTAAAGAGAATCCAGAAGGCGTTTCCGGCTTATCCTATGTATTGGACGTTGCCTTGTCTCGTTGCCTTATCGGAAAAAGTGTTTCTGTTCAAAGGTCGGCTATGGATATATTCATCCTATGTTTACGGAGATTCGTAACGATAAGCGATAAATTTGTTTAAAAGTCCTCCAAGTCTTGGTGATAGACGATGAAAACAAACGTTACCTTATCTCGCGGAGCTTGCTTTTATGTTTGCTGATATTAATTTGTTAAGTGATTTTCTTATACGTTAAAAATAAAATAGATTTATTATTCGATTCGTTTATTTCGAGCGTTTATTTTCATAATTTTTGCTTCTACGTATGTAATATCTGTATCTACAGTTGACGTTTTTTTTTTGTGAGCCGTTTAATTTATTACAGAGATGAAACGCGACCTCGAGACACAATTTGCGTCCTCGAGGGGACGTCTCATTTTTATGTGTCCAAACCCCTTAATGGATTAATGTGTGTTTCGTATTACACGAGAGTTACGAAGGTACCTTGGCCTAGGTCTTTACCTCTCACGTGCGCAACAGATGTCGCGAAGACATGGTCGGCGTGATCTGGAAATTTGTCACGGCAGTGTCGTTAGGCGGCCCTTCGAAATTCGGAGCTTCTTAAAAAGCTCTTTGAAAACTCCTTTTTTGTAATCTTACACTGCGTAGATACTCCCGAATTCTTATCGACCTTTTTTCCTTTTTTTTTTTCGCGGGACAAGCCCGAGAGGCGAGCCATTAGCGAAAGACTTAGGTATGCGAGAGAGCACGGAAATTTAGGATATTTTTGTAGGGAAAATGCATATTTTTGTCAGGTAATCGTATTTTGCGTCAGATTTATGTGGGAGTTTCAAATTTTTTTTCTCGTGAGAGCGGAATTAGATAGCGCGCCCTTCGCCTCGAGACATATCATATTTCTTCTAACAGAGTCCTCCACAGAAATATCTTTCCCTTCGCAGAATGCGTCTTGCTCCTGGCTCGTTTGGTTTCTATTACACACTCCTTATGCTCCGGTCGACTCGCTGCATTATCATTCCTATAAGTTGCGCCCGAGATTGCGGCGGGCGCGGGCGGGAAGGGTGAGGAATGGCAACGGAGGGTATCGGTACGATCGTATTCAATTTATCTTCGACCCGATGTCACCCCGCGACCGTCTCCAGGATTTTTCCCCGAGAATCGATTCTCATTTCTTTTCGCCGGTGCGGTTCCATTTAAAAATGAAATATACGCGTGTATCTGGTACGTTACAAATAACTCGATATTCTTCAAGGTCTACGAGTTGTTATTGGCAAGGAAGCATTGCATGACCAATGTGGAACAGGAAATTATTAGCTGCTTGTAATTATTCGCTAGCTATTCAACATCTAAAGAGAGTCACATTTTTATTAATATCGGATATTTATGGAAAAGTTATCGTTTGACCATCTTTATTCATGACTTATTGACATTTGTGCTTAAATATCGTAATCTGCTGCTGATAAAAGTATCAGTGCCGTTTCATACTGATATGCTTGTACATTGTATATAATTTATTGTGATGATATTCTCTAAATTATCTTACTCTGAATCAGCTATACGAATCATTTACTCGAGTCCGTCTTTTCAACAGCATAATCGTGACCCGGCGACCACGCTATACGCACGCGTTTATCGTGTGCGTGTCGCTCGTAGAGGAGAAACCGGTTATCAGGCGCGTCGAAAATAGCCTTGAAGGTCGGGATGTACCGAAAATAAATCTCCGGGTTTCTCTCCGCGTTGCACGCGTTCGTTATGCGCTCGTTCTCCTGCAGCGCTCCGGAGAAGCTATATAGGTATGCGTATTCACGGGTACGCGACTGCAGGTAACGCATCCGTATGATGCGTGATACGATTTGTCGGCGGGGATTGCGATTAATTGCGATACCGTTGCGACGATAACTGCGTTTACTCAGTAGACTCGGCACACCGGATAATTCGGAACACTGCCCGAATTGTTAATCCCCGCGGCTTGCCGCACCGGGGAACCGACACGTGTGATTTTAACAAACGCGAAAGGAGCCCGTTTACCCGGGTGATACGAGTAATTGCACATTATACACAAATGGCATGGAACTTTAACTGCGCGCGCGCCCATCAAACGAAATTGCGCCGTGCGCCAAAATGTTCGCGCAACCCGATGTTCGGCGACCTTTGTTAAAGGCTACAAACTAATTCGACCCGCGGTGTGTCGTGGACAAACAAGATCGCGATGGGAGACTTCCGGCGATGGTGATGTGTGTTTACCTCTAATATCAATCCGTATCGTGCGCCGACGGTGATTACGATGCATCCAAGTGGGTCAGGCAGCCTAACTGGGTCGTTGCAATTTCACTGACCATCGCGTTATTAGGTCCCCACCTGAGAAATTCTCGCATATATATGCACATTTTCCGCGCGCAATCAGCGAATCGTGTAACTCCGGATCATATTACGTTGCTTGCGAAATAAAAGACAAGCTCGAGTTTATTTATTTTTCGATCCGGAACGTTTTATGTAATTCGGAAAATCGCGTGCTTGTGCGATACACGTCCGTGGCACATTCTCCCATTATTAATGGCGAGTTGAGGATTGGGGCGGCTCTATTTTTCTCTTCGAATCCCATCGATGGACAGAAATATTTGTGTTCGATCAATATCACATTCTTACCGTTTCATACGAAACGTTCGTTTCATCTTATTGAAGCAGTTTTCTAGATTACTATACATATTCATACATATACGTTATACACATCTGAAGGCTTTTATGCGGAAGCTCGCAGGGCGGAGCTTCCCTATCGCGATATCGACTGTTCCGACAATAGTCTGCTTTCGTTATATCGCTTTCATCGCAAATATCCATGTATCGCGCAGTGTATGTAAAGCGTGTATCTACTCGGAGAAAGAAACCTGCGCGATCGCGAGACGACGCTTGAAATTTTCCCATCGGCTTATAGGCAGCGGCGGCGCGTCGTGCCGCTATGGAAATTAGGTCGAAATTGGCCGGAATTCAATCCGGGAATTCAATTTGCTGTCGTCTTTGTGCCCCCGCGGAGTCAATCCGATCGACGCGCGTGTACGGCAGACGTTTTCGAGATCTAATTTGCGTTTACTAGGAGCCTATTTCCCGCTCTGTTCGCGTCATGCGAGATGAACGGTAAAAGGAGCGGGCGAACGTCTAAACTCTCCTGCCAGTCTCTCGATGCACGA